GAATAGACAGAGAGTGAAGAATATTCCAGAATGAGAACTGGTAGGAGAGGTGAGGTCATTTTAACATCTTTAAAAGACAGTGCAGTGCACAGAAACACATATTCACAGGGAAAACCCACAAACAACAACATCAGGTGGGAGTGGTTAAGACTTTGGGAAACTTTGGTGGCAGTTAGATAGAACAGGAATAAAGGGTAAGAAATATGAATGCATTTTTACTGCCCTTAATAGTTGACATCTGTTTTAAGAGGCATATGATTTAGGAAGTCCTTCTGTATATGAGTTTCTTTTATTGGTCAATGAATAAAGAAGTGGTTTTGGCCTGTGATAGGGCAGAATATAGCTATGTAGAGAAAACCAAACTGAATGCTGGGAAGAAGAAGGCAAAGTTGGAAAGAGGCCATGTAGCCACCACTGGAAACTGATGCCTCCGCTGGAGCCCACTGAAACTTTGCCAGTAGGCTATGACCTCGTGGTAATGCACAGATTAATGGAGATGGCTTAGTTTAGGCTATATGAGCTAGCTAGAAATATGCTTAAGTGATTGACCAAGCAGTGATTTAAATAATATAATTTCTATGTGATTATTTTAGGTGTGAGTAGCCAGGATAAAGGGACAACCTCTGGAAACAGACATAATTGAAACTTTACTATCAAATTTATTTCTAAATAACACACAAAATAATGCAAATTATACACATTTTGGAGGTAATGAGTAAAATTTCAATATATATATATATACATTGTGTACTGTTTAAGTCAAACTAAACATTTATATAAATGCAAATATGCATCCCTTATATGGTAAAGATAATCAGAAATTTTTCTTACAATTTTTAAAAATATGCTTTACATCTCATTATCAATGGCCAATAGCTCGTCAATTAAGTGTGGGTCCCACGAGCATCCATACTTTCCATGGTGGAATATTGGCTGGCTTGATCTTATACAGGTCTCATGTAGGCATTCATACCAGCTGCTAATAAGTCCAGTATCCTCTTGTGTTCAGAAGACAGTGATTTGCCCATGGCTTTCTGTTCAACTTTCCACTCATTCTTTTATGCTGACCCCTGAGCCTTGCATACATCGAGTGCAACACAGAAGTCCCATTTGTGGCTGAGGACTCAAATTTTGATCAGTTGTGTTTCTGTGTTAGTCACCATCCACTACAGAGAGAGAGAGAGAGAGAGAGAGAGAGAGAGAGAGAGAGAGAGAGAGAGAGAGAGAGAGAGAGAGAGATTCAGTTATGTGATCTGAGAGTGGCATTAATTGGTTATGGTGATATGAAGTTAGAAGGTAATTTGATACAATGCCCACTTAGCAAAATAATTGTAATAAGTTCACCTGTGGGCCTTTAAGCTTCTCAGCTAACTGTTGGCCAAGTCTACAGCACTGGGCATAGGTTCTTGCTGTGTATTGGACCTTAAATATCACAATAAAAATCTCTGTAACATTCGATCGCCAATAGGCATATCTTCCTATGTTAGTCATTATTGTAGCTCACAGTGTTCACAACTGTGCAAAACTGTTTATGAGCTTTTCTACCAGTGACATTCATAATACTTTCAGTACTGTGAAAGCTAACTAATGGGGAAAAGCTTGGTTTATATATGCTCTGTGACCAAAAGTGTAGTATCCTTAACTATAGTCTTACTTACCAAGTTCTAGTGGGTAACCAAAAGCAGGGGCATCAGACTTTATTAATTGGGTGTTCCTGAAATACTCTTGATCAATAACTCAAAGATATAGATCTCCAATCTGGCACTGAGCTTGTATTTGATACTCTATGGCATCTGGGGAAAACACCATCCCATTTTTAATGTGACTTCAGCTAGACTGTCTCATAAGAATTGTCTCTCTGTCTCTCTCTCTGTCTCTGTATCTCTCTCTCATGTGTAGCTTATACATTTTCATATAGCTTTTTCAAACATCTTTAGTGTTAGTTATCCTTGTTCACCCTCTCCTCTGCCATATCTTCCCACCAACTCTCCACAGAAAAGTCCTTCCCCATTTCTCCCTCTTTTCCTATATTCTTTCCCCCTTATGACCTTTCCTTGCCCTCATCACCAAAACTCCCTTTCTAGTTTCAAGGATTCTACAGGTACCCTGAATTAAGTAGACAATTCTAAAGATTACAACCTGAATCCACATATTACTGAAAACATCTGACATTTGTCTCACTTTAAGTTTTCTCACTTTGTGTAATATTTTTATGTTCTATTCATTTACCTACAAATTTCATAATTTTATTTACCTTTACAGTTTGCATAGTCCAGAAAAGAGCTACAAACATTGTGCACGTTTCTGTGTGAACAATACTGTGAATTTATGGGATAAAGAGAGAAGAAAGAATTTGTTGTCTCTTATAGCATGAGTGTGTTTGTCATATAAGAAACTAGCATGCTATGCTCTAAAACAGGGTCAGCATCTAGTAGTTTCAGCTTTGAGACACAAGAGTTGTTGCTGTTCTACATCCCAATATCTTATACGTTTTATTTTCATTTTTATTATGTAAAATTGGTTTAAATTTCTCATGGGATTGCTACTCTGATGAATGTGTTATTTAGAACAGCATTTAATTTCCAGATTTTTTTTTGCTTGTGTAATTACCTTTGTTATTTATTTCTTGTTTAATTCCACTGTAGTCAGAAAGAATATCTTATATGATTTATACTCTTTCAGTTTTTTATGATGTGGTCTATGGTCTGGAATGTAATCTCTTAGTGAACATTCCATGCATGTGGAGAATCCATTTTGGTGTTGTGGGATGAAGTAAGGTAAATGTCAGATTGGTTATTTGATTCAGTTTAACTCAGTCTCTTTAGCTCTTTCATTTATGATTAAGTGATGTCAAAAATATACAATTATAATACTGAATGCATCTTTTAATTTCTGTCTTACAAACATTGGTGCTTTGCTGTTGGGGTTATTTGACAATGTTGACACTGGATCATTAATGGATATATGCATTTAACAAGATGTGAAATCCTTCTTTATCTTTCCAAATTCCCTTGCCTTAATGTCTTTTCTGTTTGATATAGACATTGCTACATCTACTTTTTAAACTAAGATATCACAGTATATTTCACATACCCATTTTACTATTTCATGAGTATCTTTTAAAAGATTAGATTACATTACTTTTCCTTCCCATTTCTTCCTTCCTCTGAACTCTCTAATACATATCTCTGCTTGCTATCTTTAAAATTCATGGCCACTTTGTTTATGAATTGTTGCCACATGTATGTATACGCGTGTGTATTTATAAATATAGCTTGTTCAATCAGTGTAGTGCTATTTATAGGCAAGTTTGAGGAGATGATCACTTAGTACTGGATAACCATTTGGTGTACTTTTCCCTGGAAAAAACAACTATTTCTCCTACTCTCAACATTCCTATTGTCTCCAAACAAAACATGCTATTTTGTTTGGAGTGCCCACTGGTAAATCTGTGAACTTTATGTTCACCTTTCTTTTTTTCTATGCTGTTGGGCAGTGGTCAGCCTTGCAACATTATTTCTCTAATGGATACAAGAATAGGTGCTGCCTTTTTAATCTGTCCAGTGTTTTGTTGTTGTTGTTTTGCTTTCTGTGGTGGATGGAGTAGTGACTTACAAACTTCTTAACTATGAAATAAGAAAGTGAAAAATATAACATCACTTTTTTTCCCCCTAAGCTATAGTAGTGGGTGTTGCTCTCTACTTGCTTTGGTCTCTGAGGAAACAAGAGATGTTAGGCCAGGTTTACACACTGAATCTCATTTACTTTCAACATCTCGAAAAGGTTTTATGTTTATTTCTGTTTGGACAGCCTCTTCTTTCTCAATATATTTCCACTTTCTATCTTCATCCCTAACAGATGATGAAATAGTAAGACACCTGCATTCATGATCTTTCTTTTCAAATGAGCAGGTGTTTATATTCTTGGTTGTTTTTTTTTAATCTAATATTTTATTATCTAAATAAGTGAATTAATTAGCCGCTAAGTTAGACCAGTTTTATACACTGGATCTCACAGACTTTCATCATATCTAATTTGTTTCTGTTTGGAGACTCTTTTCTTCCACAATAAGTTAACTAACCTATCCATTGATGCCCCTATTTTGTTCAGTTGTAGTAAACATTTACCTCTATTTTTCTGTTAGTTATATCTTAAACAAAAAGAATCATGATTAGAAGCATCCTCCTTTGCATTGTACCAATATACCCCATACTCCCAAAATAGAAATTCATTTTCACACAGACTAGGTAACTGTCCAGAGCCAAAAATTTCTTCATCATCCATCATTACTCTTGAAAATGGGCCAAAGGACTCTCCTCTGCCCTCTCTGTGCCTGATATTGTTGAACTGAATCGGGAAAGGTCTGGATTCCCAGAATGGTTATGCGAAGGACAGATAGAGGATTTGGTTAGTTCATGTAACACTGTCCCCTTCATCCTGTCTATGGTTTTTGATTTGGCTGCTTGTCATCGTAGAGGATCAGAGAGCCGAGTTTGACTCTGAGCACAGTGACTGGGCTATGCTTACATCTCACTCACTGTGACAAGTGTGTCATGGCTAGACTTTGCTGTACCCCGAGATCTTCCAGGAATATTTCAACATACTTTCCTTTGACCAAAAGTGTAATCCTGAACAAATAACTGTCAGAAACCATGCCTTCAAAGACATTAAACCTTTAACATTAAAATCAGTATATGTTAGAAATAGAAAAGGTTAAATTTATAAAATGTGTTTTGTGATGGTGTGTCCTGATTTCTCTTTCATGTGAATTACCGCCAGCTTGTGATATGCAATACTTCTTAGTAGCAAGAAAATGAAATGATTTAGAACAAAGTACAATGGCATATAAATGTGGAAATACCATCATGAAAGTCATTATTTTATAGTCTAGACAGAAACAATGTATGACAAATGGAAAAACAAAGAATTACAAAATAACTAAAAAAAGTCCTATGTGGTTCTGAAATAAAAGATTCTTCTAAGCATGCTACAGGATGGATTGCTGGGAATATACAGGTGGTGACATATCTAACAGGAAGCGGCTGAAATATAATTCTTATGGCAATTGTCAAATATTTACCCATCCTTATACTTGAGTGTTCTGGTAACACAAATACATGCAAACTGAGGAAGGGGCTTCAAAGCAGTCCCTGGTCAGCTAATTGTGTCAGCATGCCTAGGGATTGGGCAATTGAGACTGTGCAAACTAACGATGAGTATCTGAAGCAAACCTCGTAGATAAGAAATCCACACACAGTCCAGGATTTGAGGTTCTGGGAATACAAACGATGGAGAATGAGAGGAGAAAGACAGAAACATGAGATTAGAAGAAAAAAAAATAGCTTTCTAAGGCTAAAGGCCATGGCTCACAACTTCATATTACTGGAGAGTGTTAAAACTTGTAGTATTATTTATTTATTAGTTAAAAGGCTTGTCCAAATAGAATAGGAAGAAGGTATTTGGAGGGTACAAAAAGAGCTCTCAAAGGGCAGCTCCATGGCCCCACTAAAGGCTTGGATGAAAAGGGATGCCAGGAGTGGGTACATATGAATGGAAGAGCCTCTAAAGACCTCAATGGGTCAGAGCTGACTGAGGAGAACAGCTTGGGCAGGTGACTAGGATGGTGTCTAGGTTTCTGACCTTTATACACAGAGGAATGTTAGAATAGACCTAAGATATGAAAGTCTGAATAAGGAGTAATATCAGTATATGATTGACTGCGAGTCTTCTCTCTACAAGCCTCTGACCTTTAAACATTGCAGAGTTTCAAACAGTGTTTGCTGAAGGGAATTGGTATCCCAGCTGCTGCTGCTGCCTTAGAGTTTACTGACAGTCTTTATTTTGTAAAATAAATATTTATTTATAAAATAAATAAATTTTTATGAATAAAAATCTCAAATTGCTGATTCAGTCTAAAACTAAAGTCTGGGATAGACTTAGCAGTCAGTACCACCAAAACTTGTATGATTTATACGTGGATTTAATATGGGGTAGGATGTAGACACATCTAAGATTCCAGCAGAGGAACAAGGCCTTGGTAGAATTTTAGGTCTGAAGGAGAGACTATGAACACTGAATCAGTTTATGGTCAAAGAGGTAGACTGCTAATTATGGGTTACAGCATAAATTTAGAAATTTAGAAAGCCCTGTTCAACTTGGGAACTGAGCTATTAACTCATGTTCCCATGGTACATGAGTTACCTCAATCTTCCTGATGTACAACTCTTCTGTTTAAAGCTCATCTGAAAGCTTCAAGTTTCTAAGGGAAAAATGAGCACAGGACATCTCCATCTAGTTCAGTTCTCTTTAAAGAACAAAGGATGGAAGTAAAGCCCAAGAGTTGATGGGGTTTTACTCTCGTTTATATCATCGTTTTTCCTCTCCTTTTCATTTTTGATTTCTATCTCATTTTTTCTCAGTTTCTTTAGTTCATTCTGCTGAAATAAAACAAAATACATAATCTTGGTACTTTATAAAAAGCAGAGAAGGTAATTGGCTCATGATTTTAGTCATTGGGATGTAGCAAGAGAACATCCTAGGAATCTGGAAAAGGCCTACAGCTCTGTGCCTAAACATGACAGAGAAGGCAACTGCTTGTAGAAGGGGCATATATGCCAGAAAATATTCAAAAGAATGGAAAATAGATCCTTTCTTTCCTAATTATAATAGCTTATTTTTATGGGACATACCTGGTTTCACAAAATGTACTGTAATCCTGGATATAAGTGAAAGCTCCATGATCTAAGCAACTTGTGAAGGTCCAACCAGTTCAACGGTGTCAACCTGAAGACTAAGCTTCTAGACCATGAAATTGTGGAAATATACTACAGCCAAACTCCAACATTCGTCAAGATATTTGCTTCCTTTACAGACAAAAGTGAAAGCCCTCACGATTTGCCATATATTTTTGATATTCTATACAAGAGGCAGGCTCTGAAATTATGAAATAGAGATAATTAAGACAGTTTTCAAAAGAAAAAGGCAAAGGAAATATTTATAGGATGACAGATAAATGTCTTTTATCCCTGTATATGGAGACAGAAGGCCACCTCATTCACATGAAATATCACTGGGAAGGTTGCAAAACTAAAATCAGTTTAAATTTCAGCCGACATTCCCAGTATTAAGGTTAAGAACACTAGAACACCCTGTCTTCTGTCTTGTTAGTCCATATACTCCCCTAAGATTATGAGTTTGTAATAAGTAATTCTAAATTCCTACTCTACTCACCTTAGATCATTTATGTACTAGACACCACTTAGCCTCTTTGGCTTTATCACCCAAGACCAATATAACAGGAAGGCAGTATTCCCTGTTTAACAAAACCCTAAGTATGAGGAAATGTAACTAGTAGAGCTAGTAACATGGGCTAAGTAAATTCCAGGAGGTCTCAATCCCAAAGAATAGAGGAGAGCTGAAAGTGGGAGAATTAGTCTTTCTCAGGGAAGAATTTGCCAATAAATTTTGCAATATTAAATGGTCAGCCCTGAAAGCACATATACAAGTAACATTATACAGACTGGGCAGGTTTTATGAAGTAATATGCACATATGCATCTACATATACGCATGTAATAACAATTATGGAAAAATATAGGCCTTGAATGTAAAGAGAGCAAGGAGGGGTATATGGGTGTTGTGGGAGGAGGAAAGGGAAAGAAGGGAAAGAGAGATGATGTAATTTTAATATAAGTTTTAAAAATAAAATAAATCATTAAATATTGAAAAATATTCTCCAGATTACTTTGAGTTCTTATTTTTTTTAAATTTTTGAAAATGTTATAAATGTTAATCTGCATGTCTGTATGTGAATCGTGAGTATGCCTGAGACTCTTAGATACCAGAAGAGGGCACTCCATTCTCTGAGGCTGACATTACAGGTAATTGTGAGTGATTTTGTGGTTGCTGTTACTGAACCCAGGTTCTCTTTAAGAACAGCAAGTACATTTAACTTCCATGCTGCCTTTTTGGCTATAATGTGAGTTTTTGTACATCACATTGAAGTCTTCTATATACAAAAATATGTTTACTATTCTGTTTTAATGTCCAGATCACTCATTGAATAGCTATTAGATCAAGCATTGAACATAATACAGGTCCTGGCTTTTAACAGAAACACAAATCTCAAGGAACTTGCCACCCATGGGGTGAGATTCTGAACAACTCAATGATGTCTTTCAAAATAAATTATAAGCAAAGAAACATGAAATAAGGCAAGATGGCTGATAAGAGCTGTGCAGATTTCAGAGTGAGCAGTCAAGAAAAGCACTATGAGGCAACCAATGCCTTAGCTCATAAGGGAGAGAAAATACTGTCGATAAGAAAGAAGTAAGTGGGAAACTTCCTTCAGCAGGATCTAAACAAGTGGTTCTCACCTTTCCTAATGCTGTGACCCTTTAATACAGTTCCTCGTGTTATAGTGACCCCAAATCAAAAAGTCATTTGGTTGATATTCCATAATTCTAATTTTACTATTGTTATGAATCATAATGTAAATAATATCTGTGTTTTACGACGGTCTTAGGCAACCCCTGGGAAAGGATCATTGGACCGCAAAGAAGTTGAGATCCACAGATTGAGAACCACAGCTCTAAGGTTGTTTTGGGAACAACCTTAATTTGTTTGACATAAGTATAGCAGAGAGTACATGAATTCACTCACTGGTGGAAATAGATCAGAGAAGAATATCAAATGAAACATCTCAAGGACAGTTTTGATGATTCCCTCAATTACTTTTATGTACCATAAATTTTACTATTATCCAAAACAAATTCACCAATTTATATCCTACTAAGAATGTTATTGGATTGGTTAGATGTATGCAGTCTTGAATGGAGATGACTCTTTCCTGTACTCTAAGTCAGGATTCTGTACAAATAGGAACTGAAACAGCAAGACTCTGATGAGCAGTCAAACAATGGAACCTGAGCTTTATTTATGGTCCTGGCTGGAAAAATGATATTCTGAGTGGTTGGGAAGATTATAACATTCTTATCTAGCTAGATGCTTCTTCTAATAAGGAACAAACACACTTTTTGCTCCTCATTTTAGGCTTCTTGATAATATGGCTTTTTTCAGGCCTTTGTTATTTTTTTTAACTTACTCGTCTTTTCCTTGTATTGTATGATTTCAGTTTTTGTATTCTCATGAGTTTTATTCTCTCTCTCTCTCTCTCTCTCTCTCTCTCTCTCTCTCTCTCTCGTGTGTGTGTGTGTGTGTGTGTGTGTGTATTTGTTTCTTAGGCTTACTTTTCTTTAATTATATTTTGCCATTGTTTAATACTGTTTTGACTATTTGTTTCAAAAGAAAGAGAGAATGAAGAAAGAAACAGGGCAGGGAAACTTGATTGCTCTTTGGGCTAATGAGGGAGGGGGACTTGATAGAGGGAGGGGGGGGAATGGGAGGCGGTGGTGGGGAAGAGTCAGAAATCTTTAATAAATAAATAAAAATTTAAAAAATATAGAAAAAAAGAAGCAGCATAAAGTCTGCCAAAAATAAAAGTTGACATAATGGTCTCTGGCAATCTACTGATTGTAGCCATCTCTTGAGAGTACCTCTACTTACTGTATAATAAACTCTGTCTATTTTCTTGACCACACTTTGTATTTTTCCTCTGAACAATTTCGACAGAGTTCTGAGGACTAGGAAGCAAAGAGGAATCCAGAGAAAGATCCAGTTAGTTTCATCATGATCTAGGATACAGCTAAGCAACTGCATGCCAGAGTATGTACATGAAGCCCAGAAACCTTCATGGTATAACATTCCTATGGTGAGATTTCTGCAACTCAAATAGTTCCTGAGTGTACAGCTGCCAGGCCTGGCTCCTTCAGGTGACCTGGATGCGCTCTGCTCAGAATGCTTTCTTGCATCTCAAAGATGCAAATCAAAACTCTTGCAACATCCTTAAAATTTTTGAAATAGAATAATCTGTCAATTGAGAGGTTAGGAAGATAGTCCAGTCAGTAAATGATTGAAGAACTTGTTTTTAAATACCTGAGGCTGGGGTAAGAGTTTATATATAATCTCTGCACTGTGGATGTGGATAAATCTCTGGCATTCACTGGCCAGGCAGTCTAGCTTACTTGTGAGTTCCAAGCCATGAGAGATGCTGTTTCAAAAGAATAAAAGCAGACAGCCCTGAAGAATTTCACCACTTCCTTCCACATGTATCTGCACACACACACACACACACACACACACACACACACACATCACCTGTCACTGTATTACTAGCTTCTACAGCAGATTAATAAATAAGCACTTCTTGAATACTTCATAAGTTTAGATGAAAAGAGCAGTTCTTAAAAGTCACATGGAAATAACCGTATATTGAGATGTGTCTTCAGGCGTGGGGGTGAGGGAGACCCCGTCAGTGCTCTGGTGAAGCTTAAAAGTCTTTTCTCTAAAAAGAAATCAGGTAATTCATTTTGAGTTAAAGTTAAGCGCTTGGCTTAGCTCTCTTTCATTTTTCTTCTTGTAAATCTCTGACTAAATTAATTAAGTGACTGTTTGAAACTGGCAGCCGTACTGACACAGGAGGCTACACGGTAAGCCAACAACGTCAACAGTGAAATTAGAACAAAAGTTAGAATCTGCTGCTTTTCCTCGGCTCCCCCTCCTCAGCTTAAAAACAGGCCCACAACTTCAGAGCCCTTCATTCTATCTCTGGGTTCCTTGCCTTCTTTGCAATAAAGTGTGCCAAGTGCACAAGCTATGAAAGAGAAGCTCTGCCAACTTCCATCCACACCCATCACATCACGAACACTCTCGTAGCTGATCCTGCAGTCAAAGACTAGATGAAGGCAAAGAATTCCCTTGGAGCAGTGACAGCAGAGACTCCCACAGCAGTGGCCTTGTTTACTGGTTCTGAGATTCTGTAATTTCCATGCACTAAGGAAAAATTCATGAACCGAAGAGCACTATTTTTCCTTCTTCTTCCCTCCATTCTTTCCTCCCTCTTTTTCTTCCTGCCTTAAACATTAAATGATGGTGTAGGATGTGCATGACCCTGAAAGCAATGTTAGCAAAATCTCTGTGTCTTTGCGGAGTGGGTAGGTTTGGTCAGAAAAAAAAAAAAAAAAAAAAAAAAAAAAAAAAAAAAAACATATGCAAGCAAACAATGAATGCCCAGGAATCTTTTTTATATACATTTAATTTATTTTACATCCTGACTGCGATTTTCCCTCCACATGAGGATCAAGGGTCTTTCAAATATATAAAAATGGAGTGAAGAGGACTCAATAGGATCAGAGCTGTTCTCTTATCATAATTAACCCCCATTCTAAGGTCTGAATATACCAGAGACCTCTTAGGACTGACTGGTAGAAAGAAGGCAATTTATTATCTGTTGCAATCATATAGGTCCAGCTATTTGAGACCTTGAAATTTGTTTGACCTGGTGATTAAGACAATTTTAAGCACAATTTGTTTTGGTTTGGGGCTACAGATTTGGGGTTCTGGGATGTTGAACTGTGGTGATTTTGAAACGCCATGTAGAGCTGAAGGGGCAGAGACAGGCACAGCCCTTTGCCACTCTGGTTCATGCCTGTCACAGCAATCCCAGGTGATACGATTTGACACCAATTAGTTGGTGTGCTCAAAAGCCATACCTTCCTCCAGTTTACAGTAACTGTAGAGTGTCATGCACCTCCTCAAACATGACAGGCAGTGTATAAGCCACTGCCTTCATTAATGCCCATCAGGGCTGACGGGTGGTGAGTTACAGAAGGAGGCTGCAGAAGCAGAAAATGCGATTGGCCACAAGCACACTATTAGGGAGCATTACATTTCCTGATGTCTGGACAGGATGAAATAACCATGAGATTTTAAAATGATTACTGTCCCAATGCACAAACTCACAAGGTGCTTGTCAACATCCTACACATCTCAGGAGATTTTTTTTGGACTAGAAAGATCTAATACACTTTGCAGAAGATTCCTCAGGCTGAACTCTCTCTTGTACAGAGAAGACTGAGAGTAAACTGACCTACAGAAATCTGCAAGTTTGTAGCCTTGGGAAACAACACACAAACAATAAGCTAAGGATGACTTTGGCAGTCATTGTTTTACGCCACATTAAGCTCCATTTGTTAAATCATGATCGTCAGTGCATAAATATGTGACCTGGTAGTGTAAAACATACGGTTTCATTCTGAAGCTCACCACCAGATGCAATCCAAATCACTGCGTCTCTGTGCCTTGCTCAACCTAAGAAACATTGGAGAGCTCCCATTTCCCATAAGGTTGCAAAATTTCTTAACTTAAAATTCTTTTCAATTCATGCCTCCCTGTACAAACTTCTTATTAAGAAATTATGTCTTGTATTGGTTCTCTTTGTATGGTGTGACATATACTGTAAAATTTTACAAGATTTAAGCAGAAAAATGTGTGTGTGCGTGTATGTGTGCACATATTTGAGAGACAAAAGCATATTCTACAGGATATATTTGAGAGATCAGAGCCAGGTGTAGAGAAGCACGCACAGTCTGACTCTTCACTTGACAGGGTATGTTCACATATGATCATGCTCATGGAACAGTCAAGAATACCAACATCCAAATAGTAAAATCTTTAACTCTTTCGTTTATATAATTCTGAATTTGGGACTTTTTACAAGTAACATATATAGGCATGATATCAATACATTGAGGTGAGTAGCAACCAGTAATCATACTTTAGAAGTCCTCCAAAGAGCTTGCTGTTCTTGCATGGTCCTGCTGCCAGCTAAGAGAGTTAAAGCTGATAAAAAATAATTTGGGGCAAAGGGAAGATATAAGTAAAAGTGTCAAATGGAGGCAATATATGATTCCAAGGCCCCAACACATTGTGAGGACACCTCTGAAATCCCAGAGTCAAAACACAGAAAGGGCAATCAAATGATATACATTCTCATCTAATGCGGTGTTGATTAAAAAGGAAGTAGACTAGTTAATTGTTAACCCTCCTCAGTCTGTCAGTAAGTACAGAACGTCCATTGTTTATCTCATCCAGCCCAGGTAATGACATTTACCTGAAGTTAGATGACAAATAGGCTCCAAATCTTGAATGCAAACTTAAAAAAGAAAAAAAAAAAGACACTTGCTTACCCAAAGAGACAGCACCTCCTCCATCTCATTCCATCATTACTTCTTAATTGTGTCCTTGGGGATGTAAATACAATAAGCTGTCCGGTGAAGAAAGAATTGTTTGATTAACCAAGCTTGGTAAATGTTACTAATTTTCTTCCTTCTTACCCTTTACCCCCAGAGACTCAGAACATGTGACAGTAGAGAAAAAAATCCTGAGAATTTATAAAGTAAATACAGAGCCTTTACTAACTCAGAATATATCAAGCCTGTTTGATGAAGGATCATTCTTAGGAAATTTCTTAGGAAACACTTTCTCCAGCACCAAATATTCTCTTCCTTTCTACACTGTAAATGCTTAATTCCCCGCCTTTGCCCACTGTCCCTTCCCCTCTGTAGGGAACAGCTTTTAGAGTTGGGTTTCTTGATCCGCTCCATCTTTTATGTATTTGGTTACATTCATAAACTAAGAAATACCTTATAAGTATTAACTACAGCCCCTAAACTTTATCTGGTTCAATGAATAGACAACTCAATATCAAATTCTTTTCAGGGATTGACGAACTTAATCCTCAAAACAAAGGTGAACAACATTGTTCTAGTTTGGGAAGATAAAGGATCCTGAAGAAGGTCAAGTTACTTTACCTAAAACAGCACAGTGAATAATTTGAAGAATTTAGATCAAAGAGCACCAGGCTATACCCACTATCTAGGATTCATCTCTAAGGTAAACAGTGGTGGATAATTCTTATGCTTCTCCAGAAATAATTTCAGTTCCAACACCAATTTTTTTAAGTTTTAAATGTGGTATTAACTTATGTGGTGTTCGATGTGTCTTTTTCTTCCTCGCTTCCCATGAGTACCCAAATACCTGTAATGCAAAGTATGGTCTACAGAAGCATGCAGAATTCCAGTCTCTCTCTGTGTCTGTAATAAACACCATCTGTATATGGGTAGCGTCTGACCTGTTCACTAGAATTGTCTTGTTGCTTCATTTTGATCTCATCAGCTTTAATTCCAGTTTTATTACTGTCTTGTGCATATGCTGCACAAATTTAGGGTGGCAAGATAGAAACATATTGCATCTTAGTGCTTCCGATGCTTCCTCAGTGTCCCGGACCTTTCTCCTCTAGCTCCATCATCATAAAATATCATTATGAAAATGAGCTGGAATGGAGTTCCAGTAATAAACATGCTTTCTTTACCTGGGAGTACTCACACTAGCTGGTCAATTAGTATACAGTGTGCCACACTGAAGGAAATTTGTCAAGAGCCCAGTTTGTCGTCTAAGTAAAGATAAGTAAAAGGTGGTTAATGTAAATTGCATTTCCGAAATTCATTTCACTTAGCACAATTCAGGCATGGCCTTGAGACTGTGCTAAAGATTGCAATGAGAGTGAGTACCACAGTCATGCTTTCCGTTTGTGTGAGCATCCTTCTCCAGAGAGCACTTGGATGTCCTATTTACTCCTCCTCGTTACACTTCTTTGCTTGCTGTAATGTGTTACATACAAGAGAATCAAAACCAGAGCAACCATTAGTTGCAGCTCCCCAGAGCTAGGAACTTCAACTGCGTTAAGAAAAAATTCAACCCCAGTTTATATAAACTGCTTTCCCTATGTAAAGAGAAAGGGCCTGCTTTCCATGGTGGCCAACTGTATCAGACGCTGATTTGGTTCACCTGGAAGGAAGTAGGGCTGGTGGTTATAGAGCTCATCTGCTTTAGGGATTGGGATGATCAAACAAAGATAAGATTTAAAGTTTATCTAATAAGCACGGCATTTTTAAAACAACATATATATTTTATAAACCTTTAAAGCAATGTGAAATTTTTATCATAGGAGTTATTCAAAGTACAGATACACAAAAAGAAAATATGCATCACAGTAACGCTGGCATGCATTTTATTTGTTTCTGTTGTACATTTTTATACAGAGATTTCATACTGACTTTCCCAATCAATAGAGTTTGACTATATTTATTTTCTATGTTCTTCTTCTGTCCTTTCTCCCCTTAACATACCTCCCCCTTTTCCACAATTGTCCCTTTTTCCAATATCATAAAAATATTTGCTACGTATTAATATTTATACAGGAAATATTTTTGTAAATATTCATCTTCCTTATAATAGCTGTTTGCATCTCTCTATATACACCATACATAAATTTGCTTATCCCTACAAGTAGTAACCATTGTTTAGATTGTAACTGTATGACATTTGTGGGGGGAGTTGTGAGTGAGTAGGAGCATGGGTATTTGCAGCTGTGTGAACACAGGAGATCAGCTTTGATTATTCGCCCTCAGCAGCCATTCACCTTGTTTTTTTGAGACAGGTTTTCTTAATTGGTTTACATGATTCAACAATTAGGTTAGGCCAGCAAGCTTCATGAATATTAAAAACATATTCCATCACACCACACAGCACATGTATTGTGTGGGTGTTGGGTATCTAGCACAAGTTTTCATGTATGTACACCAGAATTTTTGTTGGTTGAGTTATGAGTTATCTCCCCAGACCCTGTGTGATATTTTTATGAACACTTTTAAAAAGCATTATTTGTTCTTCTGTAGCTTTAATATATATCAGTTTCTTGGTTATATCTACTAAAAGGTATGTGTTGCATAGTTTATTTCTTAGTTATGAAAATATGACTGTGTGTATTTGGAAATGAAAATAGTATCTGCACAACACTCCTCCTGAAGTGACCAAATTCCTGGCAAAAAAAAACAACATAGAAAGGAAGAATTTATTTTAGGTCACAGTTCAGAGGATTACAGTTCATCATGGTGGGAAAGACATGGAAGCAGATTCAGCTTGATTAGCATTGCCAATGAGGAACAATACAATGCTGAGTGCTGACTTTCTCCTTTCTGTCCTTTATTCAGTTTGGTTTCCTACCCTTTAGGGTGGTGGTGTCCAAATTAAAAATGGGTTTTTCTTCCAAAGTTAAACATCTTTGGGAGCAACTTCACAGATACACTCACCAATGTGTCTCGTTGATTTTCTAGGTGCATGTTTCTCGTTTGCTTGTTTGTTTGTTTTTTTTTTTTAACACTCTCAAATTGAAATCAGAATTAATTATGTCATGACCACTCTTTTTCAATGTGACATCCAAGTGCATAGCTTTAAACAGTAGCATTTCACTCCTGGCCACCACTTACTCATACCTGTCTCTTAATGCAAAATACAGCTACTCTAATTTCAGAAGTTCCCATAGTCTTAACACTGTTGTAAAGTTCGAAGTCCCAAATCTCTTCGCAACTCAAGGCAATCTCCTAACTGTTAATGCTCAGAAAATCAACACATACATTAATTAATTCCAGCACACAATGACACCGAGTAAGCATTCCCAGCACAGATAGGGAGAAGAGCAGGAAATAATAGGATCAGAGCAAGGAGGAAACCAGCAGGGAAAGGAGAAACCCTGCAGATCCATGTCAAACATCTAGGGCTCGTGATAGCATTTTCTAGACTCCTAAGGTCATGAGTGGCCCTGCCCTTCTGGTTTGACAGTCACAGCTCATGTGACCTCTCTCTTGGGCCAGCTCTAATCCATGCCTGCCGCATTTCTCAGGAGACATCCCATAGTTCCGGCACATCAAACATTGGCTCTCTGTTGCAACTTAGACTTCATCTCTCAGCTCTGGCCTCTTGAGGCCTCCTGGCAGGCACTGATTCTTTGTACACATTGCCTGGCCTCAGTGGTCTTTGAAGATCATAGGCCAAGGCTCCATGAACACCAAATCTATTTTACTTCTAGCTGGAGATTCAGTGCGTCCCCCTCTATCACACAGGTAGTGAACTCTGTTTATTTTGACATCAAAAACTATAAAAAATAGTTCCCTCAGCAGTTGTTTTTATGACGGTGACCTATTCAATTGCATTATTAATTCAGGTTTTCTCCTTTCTAATGAATTTTGATGTTGATGAGTTAAGCACATGTGTGGGGCTTTATCTTAAGGCATCTAACTGGGTAGCTGAGAAACAGGAATACCATTGCTCAGCTGTCTTTCTCTTTTTTCCTTTCTTATTGAGTCTAGACCTCCAGCCCATAGGATGCTGCTACACTCAGGATGGGTCTTCCATTAAATCCTCTGGAGATGTCCTCACATGGTGATATCTCCTTAATGCCCTGAATGTTTCTTAACTCAATCAACATAACCATTGAAATACACCATTTCATTAACCATACCATTCACCTTTACCAAATGACTTATTAGACCCTTATCAATATAACTTATTGTTCTTTCATGTGTCTGCATCACTTTGGACATCCTTGAAACAAAATAAAAACTAAAAGAAAATACTTTTCTCACTCTAAACAGGTTTTATTTACAATCCTGAAAACAAAACTTATCACTATATCTAATTTACTTCTTAGCTTTTGTAGCTTGATGGCTAAGAAACCACAATGGTACCTTTGGTCCTTTCATTAATCTCAGCTTCCTTTGGTCTTGTTGCTAATAGACCAAAGGCCCAGTGTAGCTAATATGTGATTATATTTCTTCATATTTGTATGGTTTAATCTTTGCCTTTATAGCCTGAAGCTTGCTCATAATTTTTCTTTTGAATGGGATACATAAACCATATTTCTTTTTATTTATATTTTAGCATCAGTAAGGTTGCTTATCCTAAAAGAAAATTTAGAAAATGTGGGATTTTTTTAAAATATCGTATATAGTGTCACCGTTTAATTGCACCATTTTACTATGTTAGTAGACTCATCTTTGTCTCTATGCACAAAATTTACCTAGATATATTCATACTTCTTTTGTAACCTTGTACCATGATGCGACATAACCTGAGCTAATACATACTTTTGTCTTTCCCATTAGTCTTTCTGCAGTAGTCTTCGCCATACTGAACATTTATAATTGTCACATACACATCCACTGATTATTACAGTGGACTATTTTTACTGTTATGAGTCTTACATATTTGCATGGTGGCTTGTTAAAATGTGAAACACAGACATTGTTCCAGATCCTCTGAGGAGCATCTCTTCTGTCTCCCCAGTTGATGCTATTTTCCTCTATTTATATCTTATTAGACTGTGTTTCCCCCTTCACTCAGCAGCTCCTCTTTCATGCTCCTTCCGCCTTCCAACAGCACTCGGAATTCCCTGTGACAAGCATTTGATTTGATTTTTCCTCTTGTTACAAAGCACCTTCTAATCTGTCAGAAAAGCTCATACCTTACATGGCTTACTCCACGAGCTGAAGCCCAGAGAGGCATCAGCGATTGTCAAACACATCAGAAGCCATGTAAAGATGGGCCCAGAGGGCCTTAATTCAGAGGGAGGGAGAGGAGAAGAGGGAGAGGGAGAAGTCAGGTGCACATTCTCTGTGCAAGAGGGGAAGAGTGATGCTCAAGGGAAGTGGAAGGGCAGCTCTGGTTTCTAGGAGAAACGTTCTGCAGTGAGAAAGGCCTAGGAAAGGAATTGACTCCCATGATGGATTATTACACGTTGATAAGGAAGACCTGCGAATGGCATCGGTTAAACAGCACTATCCATTCAGCGCATTAATGAGACAGCTTTCAGCATTCGCTTGTATAAAAAGGGCTATCAATACAGAAGAAGTCCAGAGGTACTGTGGCAGATTAGCGCAGGATGAATGTCTGCCAGGGGAGCGGATATTTTTCATGCTGTTCCTCATTTGCTCACATGCCACCATCCCAAACCCTCAATGCCTGGAAGCCTAAGAACTCCAACCTCAGGCTTATAATAGCTACATGATAATTTTATGCTAAATGTGAAAATACCAGTGGATCGTTTACTGTCGTTGGCTCGTGAAGCTGACTTGACATTCTGATGACACAGAATCCACAAAGACTTAACCATACCCACAAAAGCTAAACCATTTGTTATTCTATTGTACTATTCTGTATTCGATTGGAAACGTTTTAAATGAATACATCACAATATTAGACAATAGGCTTCATTTACTTTTTAATTTATACTTTCTTGAACTGCATATTTTACAAAGACTTAAGGAAGTTGTTAGACTATTATTACAAAAACTTGCTAATATACTAAATGTAATGAAAACAGCATAGGTTATCAACCATGAAGTCATATGCACTGTGATCAAATGAACTTCATTGCTAGTGACCCCAATGCTACCCATATTATCTTAAAATATATCTTGCTATACCATGTAAGTAAAATCTTCTACAAGATCAAACATCATGTTTCTATTTACTTAGCAACTGACAATTTAAAATAAAATAGTTTTAAAGACTTCCCATTGCACCTGGTTATTCATATATGAATTAATCTTTGTGACATCAGGAAACACTCCAAGAATGTGAGAAAATAAATTACAAAACTTCAAGAGGGTCAGACCAATGGAGGGAATTTCAAGGAGTTTTAGAATATGTTATGTGGCTGGAATGATCTCTTTTTTCCCCTGAGAAACCAGAATCACAAACACTTGCACTGAGGGCAACTGGTTACAGTCACATCAATTAAAACTTCAGGAGATGGGAAATAACTGAGTGGATAAAACACTTGACCTGATTTCAGGTCCCCAGAGAAATCCAGATGCAATATCCTTGGTTCTCAGTTTGTAACCCCAGTGTGTGTCTACTGGATGATGGGGGCAGAGGCAGAAATACTAGAAATTCCTCGTCAACTACTGGAGTACTTAGAGGTGAAGAAACAAGAGAGACCCTATCTCAAATAAAGGGAGCGACATGAGTGTCTCGGCCATGGCACTTGGTACACTCACACATTGATATAAACACATGTATCATAAACACACACACAGACACACAGAGCAGCAGGGCCTTCAGAATGCTGGAGCATCAATGACATACAAAGTACCCACACAGCTATCAGATGGAGCTATCTGTAGAGAAGTCAATACTTTCATCTGTTCACAATACACCCACTTAGCCACTTCATTTTCTCTCCCTTGCTAAGAATTTACCTGTAGATAATTCCACTCCTAAAGAATCCACTGTGGGAGACACAAGCCATGGACACAGTGGGATAGAAAGCATGATAAACAAAAGAAGGCTAAGTTGAAGTTATCTAGCCACTATCTACAAATTACATCCAAGGGTTTTGGAGTGACTCCCATTCCTACAATCACTACACACTCAGTAACTTCACTGAAGATAAGGCCTACTGTTTTATCTTTCTACAGAAGGAGTGCATAATGGATCATGTCCACAAGACACTGCTGTTTAAGGATGCCAGTGTTCAGTCTCTGAGATTCTTACCCATCTCTCAATAGTCCCTATCTGTGTTCTATATATTCCAGTCAGTTCTACATGACAAAAGAATGCAAAAGACAAAAACATCACATTTCTATGCAAGATCATATATCAAAAAAAGTTATTTGTTGGGACCATTTGGAGTTCAGGCATCCAGCTGCTCTTCCCTGCTAGAGATCTTTACTTTCCTTCTGATTTGAGTTACTAAAGGCTGTGTTACCAGCTCTGCTTCACGAGCACGTGTTGCCTTGGCCTTGAGGATCGGAGGATAAGGTTTTCACCTGTTGGCCCACTCGACTGTTAGGTATATAAGCCTCCATGGTGGTTTTGAATAAAGGGCTTCTTACCAGTGACTCTGTCTCTCTGTCTGTGTGTTTTTGTGTGTTTCAACCTCCAGCCCTTTGGCCGAAGCTGGGGAACTGTATGGTAGCGCATAGAGTGAAGACAGGCATTGTGTGCTGCAGTTATTATGAAGACATCTAACTTTTTCCAATGGTAATACTATAAGCTGATATATATA